AAGAGCATATAACAATCACACCTTCCATCTATGAAAGTTGAAACAGGAACAATGACACAAGGATAATGGTAAAAAAAAAAAAAAAAAATTACAAGCAAGAGGAAACACAAAAAGCAAAGACAATTTTTAACACAACATATGGCACACAACACAATGTATCTTCAATTAAATAAATAGAATCAAAACTATAATGTTAACACAATGTCTGCGCAGACATGATCTCCACCGTTCATGTAACAAATACTCAACCCAATTATGATACAAAATAGCACAGAATACCTTGTTCATCATATTCCATTGTCCAACTTGAGGGAGGACATCCTTTTCTCTACCTGTATCATGATATTTAAGCTAACACAAGCAGTACACAGAAGTCAATACACTAACAATTACAGAATTAAAATTCACATTGAAGTAATGGGAAAAATAAATAAAGATGTTCTACCCTTGGGGCCGGCAAAGTGCGTGCCTCAACCGAAGCAAGCTGCTCACTGATCTTAATTCCAAATTCCTTTGCATAGGGATCCTCATGATAAGCATTGTGAGAAACAGTCTGCAAAAGAGCCAATAGAAGGAATCAACTACTCATGATAGTAAAAGCAGGAAATTACAGATCCTAATATTACTGCATTCAACACATTCAATCGATCTCTACTGCGTAGAACAGCTCATGAGATGACCACAGAAGAGAAGATCATGAAAGGTAAAGATAGGTGAATAATATGAAAATATGAATCACGGGCAAGAGCTCATTACTGAATTCAGAAACACCCAAACATACAAATAGAAACGAGCCCTCAGACCTGCAGGATATCAGTTTCCCTTTCGTGAGGCCGTTGACAGGTCACCTTCAACAGTGCAGTGATCTGTCTGTTATTCAATCTCTTCGAGTACCTCTGACCCGCAGCAATCTTGCAAACCTATATTAAATCAAAACTTGTTAGCACACATATCCATACACTTCATGAGAATGACAAGAAACTAGAGAGAAGGGAATTAGAAAACTAACTTCCATTGGCAAATAATTTGGTCTGTTCTGACTGCCCACTTGTAAGCATGGAAACTGAGTGTGCTGAATGGTGAAACCATATGTTTCATAAAAGTACTCAAGAACAGATTTCACGGTACCTATTTCATCAACAGGGAAACTATGACCAAAAAAAAAAGAAATTTTCAGTTACACCACATCGAATTTTAACCAAAAAAGCATAAAATTTTATAATCAATAAAAAAGATAACTTTGAAGACTAATAAAACTAACGTTAGCTCTGTTGTTGCCTGTGAAGTTAAACCAGATATTCGGTATTTCCTACGCGTATAGCCACGGTGTGTAACTTCAACTTTGACTCCTCTAAGAGCCTTTTGGATCTAAACATAAAGAGGTAATCATGTTAGAATGCAAAAAAAATTAAAATCAGACTCCATTAGAGAAGCAACTATAATGCCTGTTGAAAAAATGCATATCATCAAATAAGATCAGATATTAAAAAAAAAAAAAATGACAGTTGGATCAATATACAGTAGAAGAGAAAAAAAAAAGAAAAAAAGAAAAAAAAACACTTACTTTTACACGATCAGCATCAGACAACAGTCCAGAGGAAACATCCCGATTTAGCAACTGGGTTACAAATTCAATCACAGGC